CAACTCTCTTAGAAAACAATTTGGTTCTTTGATAAAACAGTCGCGGCCGTGCCAAACTGAAGGGCAAAACATGATTTCTCAGAAAATATCTTAAATAAAGCTGGCAACCATAACAGAAACCTAGGATCATAACATTATCCAGGAGAGTCTCGTGGTTCTACTCTCAGTATCATAAAGAAAATCTTTAATTTGTGTACACAGAATGGAGAAAAACACTTTCTAAACCAGCGACTCCTCCCTTTCCAAGCTGCAGGAGTAACTTTCTAGCTTATTTGTAATTACCAGAATAGTTTTGTGAAAGTGTTTGCCATGCCTTATCTGAGTGCCCTGTAATAGCAAGGCATCTGTCAAGAGTGTACCCTTGTCTCTTGTCCAACATGTTTGGGAAAGGCTCCAATGTCTGCAGAGCTCAGCAGGATAAGATCTTTAGAAACGGGAAGATGGATGGTGCGACAATTAATGTTTGTACAGTACAATAGGAAATATACAGTGAGGATTTACACACAAAAAAGGTAAAGGGGGCAGAGAAATGTAGACACACTTAGTTTTTAAGTAAAAATAATAAAATAAATCTGAAGTGGCTCAGCAGTCATTCATCTGTCTCATCAAATAGATCTGTGTGATCTCTGAAAACACGTTCTCTGCTCAACATTAGTTACGGAGACGGACGGAGCCTTCTGTCAATACTCTGCATTCATTTCATCTATATTTGTTCACATTTTCTGAAAGCTTACGGATACAGATGTTAGAGCAGTACCCCTGGAGATCATGGAGGCATTGTAGTGTACTTCAGGCAAGAAACGACCAAAGGAGACAATGAAGACATTTAGTGAAAAGAATTCTCCATCCACATTTCGGGATGTATATAATGGCCTCACAGTCCACGGCCCGTCCACAATGCTGCCTCCATTTGAAGGTACAATATTATGACTCCCTCCATTTTTGTTTTATTTCTTGTTTGAATCTTTTGGCTGCCCTCTAGTAGAGCTGCAACGATTAGTCGACTAATCGATGACTAATCGACTATTAAAATCGGTGACTATTTTAGTAGTTGACTAATCGGTTTGAGTCTTTTTTCGTAGAAAAGTACTATAAAAGTACCCCAAAATACTCTTATTGCAGCTTCTTACGTTCAGATATTGGCAGCTTTACACACTATCCCATGACGGTGAACTAAAACCCTTTTGGCGTGAGTACGAAACAAGACATTAGATGACATAATTTTGGGGTTTGGGAGAGACAGGCCAACAGTTTTTAACATTTTAACACGTTTTTCGATAAAATGAGTAGTCGATAAATCGGGGAAATAATCGACAGACTAGTCGATAATGGAAATAATCGTTAGTTGCAGCCCTACCCTCTAGTGCCATCTGTTGGCTCTATCTGTGCTCTTGTAAAGTACATGTGGAAGGATGAGGGCAGTGACAATTATGTTTAAAACAGACAATTTTTTTTTCGTACGCGAAGGAAGTATAAATGAGCTGTAAGACCTGGACGGCTAAAGCATCTAAAAGCAGTATGTCAGTCATTCAGCCAAATCATCAAAGGGTTTTTATAGTCTTAATTGGAATCAAGGAACCAATATTACTGCTTTAGCCCACAAATTAAGAAATCAAATCATTGTAACTACTCTAATACATATAATCTAAATTTGATTATATGATATCCATGTATTTTTTTATGTTTCTCAAATTTAAAATGTATTTCATCGTGTCTGCAGTTTGCAGACTGTGAAAATAACATGTTTCTCTTGAACACTGGTAAAGTTTTCTCTTACTCTCTAAACCTCAGTCTCCAGTAAAGCAGTGCACATGTATGTGTTCAGAATCAAATGCGCAATCCTTTATGTCTCTTAATCAATTTTCAATCACCTTAAACGTCCTTTTTGGAGGATTCTTGACATCAGTCACTCCATCTCCTCAGACACTGGCGAGGTCACTCCTACCTTTTTTTTATGTGGCCACAATGTGCTCCTCACCACAGAGTGAGAAGATGCAGCAAGTGGGATGTCATTCACACAACCCATCCACATCCCCAATTACATCATAGAATAAAGAGACTCAAAACACAGGACTGGACATTTGAGGGTTTAGTAAGCAAAAATAAAAAAACACTGGCGAATTCCAGAAACCAAAGGATACTAACAAAATAAGAACAAATTGTGGATAAGAACAAAAATAAGAGAAAATCTGTTCATATATCTGTCATCTTTATCAAGGAAACTAAACATGACTTTAAGTGGGTTAGTTTATTATAAATATACATAGTATGCATTGTGCCCTCAGTGATTACAGTTTGAGTGGGATTGTAATGCCACAGTAACTGGATCAGGTGAGCAGAGGTGGAAAAATAAGACATTACTCTATTAAAGACATGTTATTAGGATGAGGGAGGAGGTAATATTTTTAGGATTATAGGACCTTGAACCAAAGAATCCTTCAAATTAAACAACACATGGTTTGTCTGTGAATTCCAAAACTGTATTAAATCACTGCTGATTTAGGCACAGTCTCTTGCAAACACAGTGCAGCTGTCGGGGTGCACCAGGCCCTGCGAATCCATGGTGCACCCACACAGGTGATTTCACTTATTTTGGATGACTGGAGCGCTTCTCCAAAATCTGTGGGAGTGTGCGGTCTATGTCTGATTTACTTAAGAGGTCTAATTAGCCAGGATAAGTGAAAACACCTGCTCAGGTGTTTTAACAAAACCGTATTGTGTTGTTCAAACAGTTTTCTGTTCAGTAATATTTGCTGTAGATTCAGTTTCACTCCCCCCAGAAACTCAGCACTGCTTTGTTGGGAGAGAGTATTTGCATTCAATTAAATGAAGCATCCTGTTTGCCTACTTTGCTAGAAGGAAGTAACCTAAGACAGCATTATAAACAGAAGGGCTTTTTTCCAATTCTTCTCCTCCAGGATTAGATATGTGACCACAACAAGCTACCAAACAACCTATTACCCCTCAATAATAATTCAGTAAAGCAGCTAGTGTCAGACCACACAACAGGGCTGTGGCTCTGGGTCCAGACTAAAATATCTCAACCACAGTAAAGGTAACTTTTGATTTTTAGTGAAGCAACCCATAAAACAGTCGTCCTTGAAATTTGGTACAGACAGTCATGTTTCCATCAGGTCAAATTGCAGTAATCTTGGTGATCCTGACTTTTCACTGAGTTCCATCAACAGGTCAAAGTTTTAATTGATCCAATACTTCAGATGTACCTTGCGCTTAGTTCCAATTAGAAAATGTTGCTAACACGCCAAACTAAGATAAGGAACGTAAAAGACAATATTCCAGGTCAGCATCAGCATGCTAGCATTGTGATTCTGAGCTTGTTAGCGTGTTGATGTTAGCAGTTAACTCAAAAAACACTGCGTTGAGAATACTAACATAGACTGTAAACTCCTCTTCAGGTCATACTCCAAAAATTCAGCCCAGTTGCCAGAAGAAAATGTTAGCATTGTTCATTTCTGCAAACCACTGATACGTTACATTTGTACGTTTCATACATATAATATCAGTGTCTCTAACAAGACATATGGGCCAACTTTGTCATCAGGAAGTGGAGGTTATGGTGGATGGCACGACATCTAGGCAAGATGGCTGCCAAACCAGAGGCCATTGTGTGAAACCAACAAAAAGCAACACAAGTTGTTTTTCAGTGACCAGCAGCTGCGTTTCCAGCAGCTTTTTTAGTGGCATATGCGCCACCAAATGTGGGTGTTTTTGGCGACCAGTAGTCATGTTTCCAGCCATGTTTGTGCTGTGGTGTTTTCACCTGTGTTTCTGCCACCAAATGTGGGTGTTTTTGGCAACCAGTAGTCATGTTTCCAGCCACTTTGTGCCATTGAATGTGGGTGTTTTTAGCTGTGTTTCTGCCACCAAATATGGGTGATTCCGGTGACCAGTAGTCATGTTTCCAGCCATGTTTGTGCCCCTAAATTTTGGTGTTTATAGCTGTGTTCCTGGCACCCAGTGTGGGTGTTTTTCAGTGGCAAGTAGTCTCGTTTCCAACCACGTTTGTGCCACCATGAATGGGTATTTCTAGCTGTGTTTCTGCCAACAAATGTGGGTGTTTTTAGCGACAAGCGGCCACATTTCCAGCCAGGCTTGTGCCACCATGCTTAGGTGTTTTAAGCTGTGTTTCTGCCAACAAATGTGGGTGTTTTCTGCAACCACTGGTGGTGTTTTAAGCCATGTTTGTGCCATTGAATGTGGGTGTATGTTAGTGACTAGTGGTGTTTCTGTCACCAACTGATGATTTTCTTGAGACCAGTGGCTGTGCTATCAGCTGCGATTGTGCCACCAAATATCTGTGTTTTCTAGCAACCACATTTAAAGGCACAAATGCATTGTGAAACGCAAAGTTTGTGCCACCAAATATGAGTGTTTTTTAGCGACTCTTGTTTGGTTTCCAGCTGTGTTTCCACACACATTTGTGCCACCAAATATGAGTGTTTTTTAGCAACCTGTTGTTGCATTTCCATCTGCTTTAGTGCCATGGAACATGGGTGTTTTTTAGTGAGTAATGGATGCGTTTCTAGTGGCTTTTGTGCCATCAAACATGGGTATGTTAAGCCAAAACAGGATTTTAAATTGAGCACATGACTGCAGATAAGAAAATGACCAAACAGTTGAATCACTACCTCTGTCATTACAAACTGAAAAATATGAGCTTCACAAGGAAAGGATGTTTTGTAGGGCCGTTTAATTGGACTGCGTTACACTGTACAAGTGACTCTAATGAACTGGTAACTAAGTGAATAATGGAAAATCTGTGTCTACATCATGAAAGAATATGAGGCCAATTCAACTAAAAAAAACAGGTGTTGAAAAATCCCAAACAAAAGTAAAAGAAAAAAAAAAAAAAAAAAAAAGTTATTAACAGAGGGTGCTTTTGGAGTTGCACATCTGTCTGTGCCGATCACATCTGTTAAGGATGTTGCAGTTTGCCTTTTTCCTCAAATGTGTAATCTCTCTTAACTTTTCTGCCACAGGTTGGGAATCTATGCCATCTGTGGCTGGATGGACAAGGCAAAAGAGTACAAAAGGAAGTTCTTCCTCCTCCTCATTGCTACCCTCATCTTCATCATCTGTATCACTATCACATCCACGACGTACAGGACCCCAAAGCCACGTGTAGCTCTTAAAACTTGCCGCTTGCAGGTCTCTGAGCAGACCATCACCCCCCTCAGCAATACCAAGCACTTCCTGGTGTCAGCCTACGTGGATCAGAGAGTGAAGGACTTGGATATTCGCATCATTGGCATATTTAGGAGAGACTCCATCCAACCCCTTTACTGTCTTTTCTGCTGTGCTGGCTGGTTATCACACACAACTCCAACAAAAATTTTGCAGCACTCAGACAGTTTTGGTTTTCCTTTCATCACCACTGATGTCATGTGTCAGATTCCTGATAACTGCAGCGCTACACATGTCAGTCTCCTGACTCATCCAGACAGAGAGATGATACTAGCCAACCAGATCTGGCTTCCTATAAGAAACCAGAAGATCAATGGGAACGAGGAGAGGAAGTTGCAGTTTAACTTTACCTTCTGCGTCTCCAACCTGTTTGGAAACTACAACAACGTGCTTCAGTTTGCACAGACCCTGGAGATGTACAGGTCAGCACAGCAACAACACTACAAAATGGAAAAAATGAACTGACTCACCTTTTCTTTGACACTATTGAAAAAAAAAATACTGTAACCTTTGCAAATGTACTGTTGCAGTGCATCACATTATACAGGTGTTACTGTTGCTGCTAGGTAGGGCTGTCATGTTTACAAAACGTCAAGGCCAAACTAATTCGAACTAACACATAAGTTCTAATTAGGGATGTCAACGGTTAATTGTCAGTCAGTTAAGCACAGACAAAATGTTTGACCAGTAATGCCTGTTGGTCTATCCATCTTATTCCTAGCCCCCATGATACCTTGCGTGAATTATGGGTGCAACTTCCGACGTTGAACCGAAACCGGTTCCTTTTCAACCGTGCACGCTAGCAATTAGCTCGCCTTGCTCCGTTAAAATATTGTTAACTTTAACCTGGCCCGAGCAAGCATAAGGTAAACATCTGCTCCTTCTAAAGAGGATTTCTGATTTCTGATGACTTATTAAGAGATACTAACACATTCGGCAAACATTTAACATAATTCAGTATTAACTGTAGCTCCATGTAAAGTGAATAAATGTGATGTTTCCCAGCTAATCCTCCGCTCATCTGCGTTAATGACGCAGTTTACACTTTTTATTTTTTTTTTACTTCTGATTGATTAAAAACCTTGTTCTGAGTTCAACACACAGTTGCTGAAGACAAAAATTTAGCTTAGACTGGTTGTTATCAAATCAAATCAAATCAAATCACGGTTATTTATAAAGCACATTTAAAAACAACCAGAGCTGACCAAAATGCTGTAAAGAACATGTGAGTCAACATCAGATATCAATTAATCAAAGAAAACAGCATAATGTAGTGCAACAAGGACCAGTTAAGGACAATCGAATGCCAGGGAATATATATGAGTTTTTAGTTTTGCCTTGAACATGAGTGGAGGCACATTTGATCGAAAAAGGTAAAGCGTTCCACAGCTTGGGAGCAGCTACCGCAAAGGCCCGATCTCCCCTGCCCCTTGACTTTGAATGAGGGACAGCCAGGAGCAGCTGGTCTGAGGATCTGAAAGGTCTGGGGTTGGTGAGGGGTCACAGGAGCTCAGAGATGTACTGGGGTGCCAGGCCATGTAGGGATTTGAAGACAAACCGTAGGATTTTGAATTCTGTTCTGAACTTGACTGGAAGCCAGTGCAGAGATGCCAGGACAGGTGTAATGCTTTCTCTCTTTTTTGTGTCAGTAGTGCCCTCAGGAATAAGGTGGATAGGTTCATTTTACTTCTCTTCAGTTTACTGCGCTGAGTCTGGTGCGAGCTACCTAACGGTACCGCATTGCCATGGAAACATTGTGCCCACCCTCCGGTATCCACCCACCCCATGTTGCCATGGGTGAGTAAGCGGCTAGATTATGAGCCATACTCCCTTCAGCATGCAAGCAGGGTCCGCAAGGTTAGCGGGGCTAACACAGCTAACATGCTAAAGGGCTTTTGTGGCTCAAAATGAAGCTACTAACTCACAAGGGGGATTTTTTTGGTAGACTGGATGGTGGCCACCATGTTTCGGCATCACCTCCCAACCTGCCACCGGGACAGTGAAGATAATTGCAAATGAGCGGCGCCCCTAGCTAGCTCCCACTTGACCTGGGTAGTGGGCAGTGCAAAGCAGCCAAGGCTAACTTTAGCTAACCTGTGGGCAGTGGGAGAGTTTTCACGTTTTTTCGCATTAATGTAGTTGTCTGGCTGTCTGCCAGCAAAGCCAACTGAAAATAAAATAACGGGAAAAACATTTACATCACAAAGCATTTCACCACCTTTAAACGGATAGGGTTTTGAAATATGGCACTAAAGCTCATTGAGTCAGTGGAGCGCTGGACATGTCATTTTATGTGGGTTTTTTTTTTTTTTTAGAAAAAGTAATAAATTACTGGTTGATGGGTGTCGGGCTTTTTGAAAGCAAAATCATCCCTAAATCTAATAGGACCAGACATAGCCATAACCCATGTAGCGTAATGTGTTAGCCAAACAGCCAGCCGTGACTGTCACATGAAATTTAGGCTACATACAAAAATGACTTTACTGGTATGGGAGCTCTGGGGATGGCAATATTGTTGGTCAGTCACAAATATTTTACCCATTTACCCTTACCCTTTATCTTACTGCAGGTTGCTGGGTGTAGACAGGGTGGTGATTTACAACACCAGCTGTGGCCCAGACCTGGAGCGCCTGCTGCAGAGCTACAGCCAGGAGGGCTTTGTGGAGATGGTTCCTTGGCCCATCGACAAGCATCTGAATCCATCTCATGGCTGGCTCTTCTCACAGAGCGGAGGGGACGTGCACTACTTCGGCCAGCTGACCACCCTTAACGAGTGTATTTACAGATCCATGGCCCGCTCACGCTACGTCTTGTTGAATGACATTGATGAGATTATAATGCCGTACCAGCACAACAACCTGATGTCTCTGATGGACATGCTCCAAGAGCAGCATCCAAATGTAGGTATTATTTTTGGCATGTTTGAAAAAGACATATTAGATCAATATCCAAACTTTAGGATCATATTTGATATTCAGTATTTACAATCTCTCCCCATCTTCCATGTAGACAGGAGTCTACCTCATTGAGAACCACATCTTCCCCAAGAAACATTTTGAGCCAAGTGGGAGGTTTCACCTGCCTCAGTGGGACGCCGTGCCGGGAGTTAATATTCTGGAGCACATCTACAGGGAGGACCCCGACAGAAATATTTACCACCCATACAAGATGATTGTTCAGCCAAGGTAAGGTGAACATGTCAGACTGAGAAGTTACAAATTCAGGACCCACACTCAGTGCTTTGGTTCAATAGATAACATATTTATACAGTGGCCCTGAGAGGAAATGAAGAAACAGCCTCACCAACTTGACTGCACATAAAAACATCATTTGAGGACACATGAAAACATCACTTCTTTTTTCTTTAATTCTCTTAACATTTAAATAGAAACCCTACAAAGAAATTACAGCACATTTCAATACTCTGACAACTTCAAATTCAAACGCACGTGATCTACTCATCACAGTTTACTTGTTTGGACGAGCCCCCAGTTTGTCATGACTGCACTTAAATCATTTATGTTTGTGCTTCACAGGTTGGTGGTGCGGACTTCAGTGCATGACGTGCTCAGGCATTATGGACGACAGATTAAGGTTCCGATGGAGATTTGTCGGCTCATTCATGTCCGCGTGCCTCTGCGGGGGTCGTTGAAGCTGGAGCAGCTCAATGAGGACAAACGACTGTGGGACTTCGACGAAGAGCTGATTCCCAATGTGGACAAAGCTCTGAGGAGAGCGGGGCTGCTGAGCCCAGAGGGGCAGAGCTGATGTGTAAAAGACACTCTGATGTCACACATGCTGAACAGGTTGAATGTGACCCTCACCAGCGGGGTCATTTCATATCATCCTGTTTTAATCTCAGTGTCACTGCTACTGATTTCTAAAATGATTCCTTATCTTGCACTAAACGGACACCACACCCCCTTCCCTCAACGACTATGCTAAAAACTACACTGGATTAAACGCTGCTTAGTTGTCTTTATTTTAAGACTGCTCAACTTTCAAAATACTGTAGATGCACTGACTGTTTGGAGAGCGACTAAGTGTCCTAATCAGTTGCGACCACCCTCCCTCTGCATTTTATCTATGACTGAATATTCAAACTAATAATATAACACCTCGACACCCTCTCTGAACATGCACTCCCTATCCAACATTTTGGCTCATATCGAGGTTAAAGTAGGCAAACATTCTACATTTAACCTCCTAAGACAAAGGGCGCCATCTTACACCTACTCAAAGACAGCGCAACTGTTACTGCTAGTTTCAGAGCGATACAGTTGCCATTTTTACAGCCAGCACTCACACTGTGTAAGTAGCAAATGTACTTGTGGTTATCTGTGCGGCCATGGCTGTGTAGGTCTTTAAATGAGGTGTGGTCAGGCCCTTTTTTAAAGGGCAGCAGAAAGCAATTGTGCCACTGACCAACAAAAACCTGGTCTCAGAATGGCACAGTATTTAAATTACATTCTCTAAAATGTGAACATAGCAGAGCTACAGAGCTGCTGTTCGCTGCTGTTCTCCCCTTTACAAGAGACGCTGTGCTTATTTACACACAAGGAGCAGCGTAATATCATCGATTATTTCAGAAGCTAAAAGCTTGGTTCTGTTTCCTCTGTCAAGTTTATAACCACAGTTTTTAGTTTTGCTGTTAAAATGTCCCACGATATTTGCTGCAGTGACATTTCTGCTCTTACTGTATTTTTCTCAGCAGAAAACCACTCAGCTCTCTAATTTGCTAAAGCTGCCGTATAAATAGCAGTGCACCAGGTGCAGGCACACCTGGCTGTTAAAGGGAATGGGAGATGACACACTGATTGAATTTGTGTTATTCCCAAAACACACCTATGATTAATTTAAGGGACTTAATACAGCACATTTGCCTTTTGTGTTTTACTTTGTGCCCAGATTATGTGCTGTTTAACTGGCAGAAGTGGACTTGCTCTAAATGCACTTGCACCATGCACTTTTGACCCTTTTACTGTTAGTAAACAGTATGGCATGTTTAGGTGGGCGGGGCTTAGCTGGAGGCAAAACACAGACATTAGCTAGCACTAGTTAGCAAGTTCTGTTGGCTTGTTTTAGACAATGGAGGAAGATGATGCGAGTGGTGAATTCAGACATACTCATTCCGAGTGTCTGAGTGTCGAAAAATTTGAGCACTGTGGGAATGTCCCATTAGGTTATCCAGAGCTAGGCACTCTGTTTGGGGAGACGGAGCAGCAGAGCGCTGAGTTAAGTGTATGTGTGATTAACTTAAACGTTCGTTAATTCATATAGAAATATAACGCTCCGTTTCTTCGACCAAGAGGGCTCTCATTTTAGTATAGAGCGTCAGTTTGAATTTATGAATGCGCCATGTCAGGTCGCTCACTCTCTGGGACCATGAGTGCTACTTGAATAAGTAAACACTGACCAATGGGACCAGACTAGCCGACCCGTATGCTCTCACTCAGTGGATGGATGATGTCACAGGAAGCTTTGTGGTTGATTACAATGCCAGTCTTAAAAAGGAGGACGACACTTGAACAGTTTCCAGTTTGTTTTGTTCGTTACGGAGAAATCCAATATCCCTCTTAATACCTCCCCGATTTCTGATTAGGTTGACTTTTCTCTAACCTGATATGAAGTGTGCTCTGCACATGTGAGCATTTCTGATGATCACCTCTGTCCAGTTCTTTTGTTTATCACATTTAACCATAGCTGTCTTTGTTTTTGTTGACGGGTAGTGGCGGCTGGTATGTGATAAATTTAAGTTTTGAGCCATAACTGTTCTATTCTGGCTCCCAATAACTCAACAAGACCACATTTGGTGGCGAGTCGTGTTTTGCCTCCAGCTAACAAACTGACCTCATTGTAACGTCAGCCCTAAAAGAGTCTACAGATCCTTTAAATAGGGCGCTTATAATCTACAGCCCTGCTTGCTGCTCTGTAAGGCTGTAGTCAGGCACAGCGATGTCAAGGGATCATCAAGGTAATACTTCAGGGGACATTAATGTATGCAAATTAAATGGCAGTCCACATAACAGTGGACTGAAAAACAAGAGAAAAAGTCACAGCATCACCAAAGTCGTTAGGATGCATCAACTTGAGACCATGAATGTCCGCACAAAACTGATGAGATGTTGAGTTTTCAGTCTGGACCAAAACAGGGTCCTGACATCATCATTCCAAGAGCCAGAGCACGCACATGGCTTTAAAAACACATCAACAATACTACTGAAAGTGTAAAAACATTTATGCAACTAAACACACAAAAAGAGATGTTGTCAGTAAGATGACTGATTATTGGCTGAGGTTTCAGATCGAGAGGTTTGAGATAGGTTTGTTTTTAGCTTCAATGATTCTGGTCAGACCCAGTTCTGTTTGTCTCAGACGAGTTTTTTTTTTTTTTTTTGCAGCAATTACTTGGTTGGTCTTTGTTCAGTAACTAACCTCTGCCATCATATCACCTCTCCAGGGTGTTTGGGCTACAAGAGTCCTCGGGGTGTGGAAACTCCAATTAAAAAAGCAGCTGCGTCCTCGGATGAACTCAAAATAATCACAGGTTGAGTTGAACAGGCGACTGAACAATGAATGTGTTGCAAATACCTTAACTACTGACAAACTGACAGAACGACTCAAATGGACTTTTCTTTTAACTTTTAGAAATGAGCACTGTTATCTGACATGTAGAAAGTGACCTTCTATTTGCTCAAGTCTGCAGCAGGTGTGTCCCTCGCTGTAATCTTGTGTATTTATCTCTTGTTTACGTTATAGAGACGGAGCGCAGCATGTCATGCTTTGAAAACTACGCCTAACAGAGGGGAAAACAGTTCAGTTCGGTGTGTCAAAGGATTATTTTAGCACCCGAAGTCTCAGCGCCATCTTCTCCTTACCTTACCTTGAGAAGATATGATCCCACTGAACGGCCAGTAGTGACATACTGTTATTTATTTGATTAAATTACCAGGTACGATCATCATTCAAGCTAACAAAGGTCAAACCAGGCATTACATAGCTTAGTTAGCTTCAACCTCTAACAGTCAAGCCGAAATAGTACCTATAACTTATTTAATAGCCTCAGCTTTATGAGCGTTGGCTACATCCTCAATGTAATGTCCAGTTTTTGTCTTTGTTCTGGGTTCTTTACCCTGTTGGTACTGTGTCCCACCTCACAGCAGCTCCGAGGCATTTTTCTGTCGTTTGCTAGCAGACAAATGACAAGGACGCTCCTTTACGCAATACAAAGTAAATGGAGAGCATGTATTTATTTCTTTGGTGGGGGCGGAACTTAAAGACTTTGCACACTGAGTCCGTTTTTTTTTTTTTGTTTGTTTGTTTTTTTTTTCATCTGAAATTGCCGCACGTCTTAAAATAAATACCCCACATTGTGTCAATCACGTTTGCACATTGAGTCAGAAACGTTCATCAGTCATTAAGATTTTTGGAACAGGTTCAATTTTTCTGCATTTTTTGCATCCGTCAGAGCCTTTAGAGACATTTGAGCAAGAATCAGTGAAGAAAATGTGGCAGCAGGGACACAGCCACGACAAGACAGAGGAACATTGTGCACAGATTAATTTCATAACTCAGACACCTCATGTTCAACAGGTCAGAGTCATATTCAGGGGGATGATAATGAAGAGCCATCCCCAGGTTCACTTACGTTTTGGAACAAGTTTGTGTTTTTTTTTGTTGCTGTGTCCTCGATTTTGTAGCTTCCTCTTGGACACGTGCTGCTACTATCTGATCACTACTGTCTTGACCTCAGCTGTGTGCTGTGTTTTGCTGTGGGTACGCACCGTTAAACGCCCCTGACACAGCAAAGTTCAAGTTCAGTTCATAGATTCAAATAAACTAGTTCATGTTAATAGTTAATTTGAATTTTGAAGCAAGTTCAGAGTTTGAAAAGTGAACTAGTTAACGTACATGTCCTCTTTTTTAAACAATATCTCACAATCATCATTCAGTAAAGACTTGTAAAGATTGTTTAATGTTCTGACTTGTGTGTTCAGACCTGTCGGGCACAATTTGCTTATAAATGTGGGATTTACTTGTTGTTGTTGGTAGTACCGGCAGCTGTGTCATCTGAAGTGCCTTTAACACCAGGCATGCTGGTGTTTTGTTGACATGCCAGGTGCCGTAAATCCGTCGGTGCTGTAAAACAAGTGCCGTTAACTGTCGCGAGAGTGAACAACGCTGATGTTCAAGTTCGTAAGTTGCAAACTGATGCGTACAGTTTGCTGTTCTTTAAAGATATGTGCACATTAAGCGCAATGTTCTGCTCTGCACATAACCACACTGCCACTCACTTCTAATGAGTTGTAAATGATGATTGACAGGGAGTACTTTTGTATGAGTCTATACATTGTTTTTGTTTTAAGAAATCCTGCGTAGTTTACCTTTAAATGTTAAATATGTGTCCAAATTTTTTAGTATTTTAACATCAAAAATCACTTTTTTCCTGTAAAATGTAAAAATATTTTTGATGATTCATTTTGAACTTGGGGGAGGTTACATAAATTCATCTAATCAAAGTGTGATTCAAGGATGATGATCTAACCTTTCCTGTCATAGCTCAGGTCTCCTCCTGCTTAATCATCCCTTTATCACAGTTACTGTAATACAGTAAAAAATGAACGTTGTCAATACTCTGGTATTATCTGCTACTGTATATGGTGTCTGTGGTGTGACTGATTTTGTCAGGCCAAAGAGAATCCTGAAAGCTTGCATGCTGGGTACACAAATCAAACAAGAGGGATAAATAGCTCATTGTTCATGTGAGCACCCGGTCAGACTGTTCACAGCCAAATGACTTATAATGACCTCAGGGTACATTTTTGTAAATTTGTTTATTCCTTTGTGAACATTTAAGTTTATTTAAAGAGAATCAGTAACTGTATTTATAATGTATTGTTACTGTGATATTGTAATAATAATGTTTGTGGTTTAAAGGAGCAGTGTGCTGGATTTACAGCGATCTATGAGCAGACACGGACTATAAGGGTCTTGCTTTGGTCTGAATCAGGGACTAATTTTGTCACAAAGTTGTATAATTGCCTAGAGTTGGTTCATGTTCTCACTGCAGCATTTACAAGAGGACCAGATTTGGCTTGTGTGAGAAAGCTGCTCTTGATTGGTCAGAATTGTCCTGAAGCCCTGACATAAAAAGTTGTTTGGAAAAACGTCATTTGAACTGCGAGACCAGCAAAAGCACGTGAATACACATGAACGCT